CCCCTCCCTGGGAGAACGGCCAGGAGGCTCCATGGAAACCAGCACTGGGGAGTCTGGGGTCCTCACCTCGTGGGTGCCTGGTTGCGATGTGGTTTGGTAGTCTGTGGCCGTTGGCTCGGTGGGGTGAGCTGAAAACCCGGAGGCTGGTTAGTGTCAGCCCAGACGATTCCTGAAGTGGGGCCTTTCCACCCACCGTGAGTCTCGGAGACTCTGCACGGGAGGGTGCCCCACACGGTGCTGTTGCCCCTGGCCTGGGACCCTCAGGGGAGCCACCCCTGCCACTCGGCATGTGGCTCCTTGCTCCTGTCTGGCCCCAGCCCAGCTCTGTCACTCTCCGTCTGGCCTTGTTGAGGACTCCTGGGACTTCAGGGGAATCCTGGCCCCTCCTCAGTAACAATGGGTAGGGACTGCTCTGAGGTGGCTGGACAGTCTCCAGGGGCAGTTTCCGGGACCATCCTGGGCTCTCTCTCTCCCCTGACACCTCTGGGACCAGACCCCACCTGCCTCAGCAAGCCTGCCTGGCCTGCCCTTACCGCCTCCACGCTGAGCTCTGGCACCAGAGTGGGGTGATCCCCTTATATCCCCCCAGCCCACCCCATTCCCAGCCCTCATTTCCCAGAGGGGCCTTTAACTTCAATACCAATTGCCAGCACTTAAGTCCTGTTGACAGTAAACAGGTCCCTGCCTCGGAGCTCCCCACAGAAGACCTTGGACAGGCCAGGAAGGTGGTGCCAGCTCCTGAGGTCTCTCTCCCCAGGAGAACCCCATAGCCCCCCATTTCTCAAGACTACTTCCTCTAAAGACAGAATGATGTTCCCAGAACAGGCCGGCGATTGGCATAGGGACTGGCATTGGGTGGCACAGGACATGTGCGTGCTCACCCTTGCCCCAGACTGGCCTGGCTGTCCTCTCCCAGGTCGAAGGGGCACTGGACGGGTGACTGCCGCCCCCCACCCTGCCCCCGTCACCTCCTGTGATCATTTCAAACAAAACTCTGTTTATCCTTCAATCAGCCGGGATTGTGGGGCGAACTGGCCTGGGGCTGGGGCAGGGAAGGAGGGGAGGACAAGCTCCCCAGCTCTCCTGCAGAGGGAGGAAGCTGGTGCCCACCTGTCGGCTCCTCCACTTGGGGCACCGGGATCCCTGGGTCTTCATATTCCTCCTGCTCCAGAATCTCCTCCAGCACCTCTTCATAGTCCTCCTGTGGGAAGTGGCCATTAAGGCTGGGCTGTGAGGGGGGCGTCCCAGGGCCCCATGAAGGTAGGAGTCCAGGGCTGTGTCCCCAGAGCCCCCAGGCAGGAGCCCAGCAGATACTGATAAAGACTCACCTGCAGATCCCCCATGGCGCTGTCCAGTTGTCACGGAGCTCCAAGCCCCCAGCATAACCCGCAGGGCGGGTCCCTGTAGGAAAGAGACACAGACTGAATGAGGCCCCTGGTGTCCTGGGGTCCCCTGGTCTTTCCAGAGGGGGGCTGCATTTCAGGGAAGGGTGATCCCAGGTGTGGGAGGCGGTAGGGCCAGAGGAGGAAGTGCGGTGGGAGTGTGGGAGAGGAGCTGGCTATGGCATGAGTGCAGGGGTGCAGGGCTGAGAGGCTGGCCGTGTAGTAACAGGAGGCCAGCTGCCTTCCACCTAAGGGCACTCGACAGGCTGGGAGGTGTCCATCAAGTCTGACTCCATTCTCCATTCCCCATTCCCCAGTCCTCACCCGCCTTCTCTTCCTGTCCCTCCTTAGGACTCAGCCAACTCCAGGGGCATGCCCTGTCCCTCTTCCCCTCTTCAGGGGGGCTTTGCTGCCCTGAGGGTCTCCACGACACACCCTCTTCTCCCACTGGACGTGAGGCTGCAGCGTCCCTGGGAGATGGACCCTGCTTTCCCTCTCCTCATCTTGGACTGCACTTCTTGCTCTCTCCCTGCCTGGCCCGTGGGCATCCTCGTGGTTTCTAGGACTGGCCAAGCTCCTTCCTGCCCCAGGGCCCTTGCACATCCAGTCCAATCCCAGACCCCTCTCCCACTGCACCTCAGCCTTTCTCACACCACAGCTCAAACGTCACCTCTTCAGAGGCCCTCTCTGATCTCCCTAACGTTTGTAAGCCAGTGCCATTTTCTGGTTTCTTGATGGATCTGCGTACATGGCTGAAGCCTCTGGAAGGGGAGCCACCTGAGTGTAAAGACTGCACGTCTCGGTGCCCACGACATCCCCACTCCTAGCAGAGTGGTTGCCCCACAGCAGGTGCTCGATCAGTATTTACTGAATGGCTGTAAGAACGTGTCCCTTGGCAGGCTTGGGTTCTGGGGCCTGGAGAACTGGGATAACTAGGACCCAGCCAGAAGGCCACGGAGTCCCGGGCCTCCACCTTCTCTCTGCCTCGCCACACTTCATCTGGAGGGGAGAGGAAGGTCTGCCTTCCCCAGGGATGTGAAGACACACCCAAGGAGCGGGTCAGGGGCACCAAAGATAGTCCCAGACCGGGTGTGGAGGGGCCTCCTTGTCCCCTCTTGCCCCCGGCAGTGCAGGGCACCGTGGCGACAGGCTACCAGGTGTCATGCTGAGCACTTTGAGGCTGAGGTGGGTGAGGCACAGCCCTCTTCTCTGGAAGCTCCTCACCCTGACTGGGAGACCAATGGGACACAGGGCAGGCTAAGTGGTTCCAGAGATGACGTGTCAGCAAATGTGCTGGGTGCCAAAGAGGCGGGAGGGAGGGCAGGACCCGGTGGTGGGCCATGGGATGAACTGACCCTACAGGAGGGGGTCACCGGAGCTGGGCCTAGAAGCATAGGTGGGCTTTGAGGGCTGCGAGGTGGGCAGGTAGGGTGGGGTGTAAGGAATAGCTGGGCAAAGGTCCCGTGCAGGGCTAGGGTGTGTGGGGACAGGACAGGGGTAGGTACAGAAAGAGCTACACGGGCAGCTTTCTTCCTGGGGAGCAGGTGGTCCCGCAGGCCGTGAGGTAGGGAGAGAGGCCTGGCCGAGCCCCACCGGACTGAGAAAAGGCAGGTGCCCAATGCAGGAGGGCCCCAAAGCCTGAGAATGGGCTGTCCTTACTGCAGATGCCTGGCCCTAGAGAACTCTGGCCCCGCTCCTTTCTTCCCCAGAGGAAAGGCATTCACTTGCCAGGAAAGACAGGGACAGAGACAGAGACAGAGACAGAGTGTGGGAGAAAGCACGGCCTGAGGATGGTCATGCCTCAATCCCTTCTTTCCATTTTTCCACCTTGCCAGGACTTGGGGCACACACACACATGTGCCTGGCATGTTTTCCAAGCTGCCAGGGCTGGGATGTGGACCACGGTCAGCCATGTGGGATCTGGCTCCCTCAGCCACCAGGCCTCTGCCCTGCCCTTTCCTTCACTCCCTCCTCTCTTGCCTTCTCCCCAAGCCCTCTTTCCTTTCTCTTTTCCCATCTTCAGTCTATTCGTTCTCTAGACTTGCCATGCACCCGCCTGGTCCTGAGTGGCCTCAGGGTGTCTGGGCCTTTGGTGCTCAAAATCCCACCCATGGGCCTGGACTATGGCCTTAGTTTCCCTTCTGAGGGGTGGGATGATCAGAGGGACCCTCCAGAGCCAGGAAACCCAGGAATCCTGGCTGCCTCTCTGTTACTGATTGGCTGAATGGCCGTGGGCAGCCTTCAGCCTCTCACTAGGCCTGTCACCCCATCTGTCACCCCACCAAGGGGCAGGTCTTTCCACTAGGGTTCTAGGGCCTCAGTGAGAGAGAAGAGGGGAGATGCAGGTGCCTTTAGCCCAGCTGGGGCCTAAGAGGGTACACCCATGACCCAGGTCGCTGTGCCTGCCCACCCAGCCACCCTCTAGCTGCAGGCCTAGTTCTGCCTGGCACTGATAAGAGCCTGGTTCCCGACAGCGGCCCGGTGTTTGGAAGAACGCCAAACACCTGGCCAGCTGGCTGACCAGCCAGGGCCGGGCAAGATAAGCGGTCACAGGGATCTAGCGCCCAGGAGGAGCCCAGCTGAGAGTAAGCTGGGAGGACCAGATGACAGAGACCGCTCCTTCGTGTAATCACCCCCACTCCGCACACAGAGCCATGCCGCCTTCTCTCTATAATCCCCCAAACCACTTGGCAAAGTGGGGATGTCGTGAGCATGGCTTACAGATGAGAAAGCCAGGGTTCCGCGTTTTCCTGCTTTCGTAGCCCAGCAGGTAGCTGTCAGAGGCAAGTTGCACCCCGGCTTATCCGACCCCAGCCACATCTCTAACACTGTGCTGAGCTGCCTCTGAGGAAATAAAACAGCTGCTAGCTGGCTTGGAGTTAATGGTTAAGAGCATGGACTCTACAGTCAGTCTGCCTGGGTTCAAATCCCAGCCCTGCCATTTACTGTGTGACCTTGGACAAGTGACTCAACCTCTCTGTGCCTGTGTTTTCTCATGAGCAAAATGGGGGGATGATGATAATAATGATACCTACCTCATCATAGACCTGTTCTAAGCACTAATTTCATGTACATATACATATATATATATATATACACACACACAGAGAGAGAGAGAGAGAGAGAGAGAGAGAACCTAGAACAGTGCCTGGCACGTGAAGAGTTCTGGGTAAATGTTGCCGCTGGGGGTCAAGGTCAGACTTACTCTCTGCATCCCCTTCTGCAGTGGCTTTAGTTCTTTAGCAATAGCCTGTGCTAGGTGTTTGGAGATCCTCAGGTGGTGGGGTCTCCTTATCTCCCTCTAAATAGTCCCCAGGCTGGGAACAATGCCAAGACCCCCAGGATAGATCCCTGGAAGTACCCCAAATGGGAAGCAGTACCAGCTGCTAGGTGGGAGATGGGGTGGGCTGAGGACACCGATGCCAGAGTTAGAGGGGTCTGGAGTGACTGAGATCCAGTCTAAGATCCCAGGGGCTGGTAAATGGGAACCTGGCAAAGACCCACACCTGGAGGGGATCAGATTTCTGTTCCCCTCCCCCCATGCACCAGCTCCACACGCCTCTGCTGCCACACACCGGCCACCCGCTGCCCCACTCTCCCCAGCTGCAGGAGCCAGCGGCCTGTGCCCTTAGGGGAGGCATGCACGTCGTTAGCATTCTCACCCCACCCACCTGCACCCCCTGGGAGGTCGGGTGTCTGTGCCCACCGGGACACAGATTCAGGCTGGGCACCGCAGAAACCCTCAGGGCAGACACCGAAGGACTATGCCCCCCCCAAGCCCCTTCCTGCCCTGCCCACCTACTCACAAGTGTCAGGGTCCCTCAGTGAAGTCCTGCAGCTGCAGGTGCCCTCTGCGACCAGCTGAGCTCACACCAGCTCTAACAGCACCAGGTCCTTGCTCCGGCGCCCGGGGGCAGCTTGCAAACCCCTGACTCATGCCCCCGCCTCCTAATCTGCCCGCCCCATGGGCCCTGGGAGCCCCTGCCCACCCCCCGCCCCGCTCTCACCAGCGCCCAGTAAACAGAGTTATCTCTCACCCACATCTGGACAGCTGTGAGTCTGGCCCACCCCACCCAGGCCCAGCTAGCACCCCCAATGCCTCCCGTGGCCCTCCTGGTCCCTAGGCTTCTCCTGGGTCTTCCTTCATGGACTAGGGCTTGGTGGCTGGGCTCTTGGGGCTCCCAGCCTGCCGGCAGGATTGCAGCCATCTCTGGATGTCCCCGTCCTGCCTCTGCCCATCTTCCAAACTGGCCAGGCCCTTCTGCTCTGGCCCTCAGAGGAGGGGCACCTTCTCTCTCTCCTCCTGTGACTCCCTCAGGCTTCTTCCTCTGCCTTTCCCACAAGCTCCTGCTCACGTTCACAGGCCCAGACAGCCCTTCCCCTCCTGGTCCCAGGCTAGAGTGCCCGAGCCACTGTCTCCCCAAGACCCCCGGCTGGCTCTGAAGAGCTGGTCCCTGGGTGCTAGGACGCTGACTCCAGTCAACCTGAAACAAAAACAACTGTCCCCACACGGAGCTCCGAGCTCACAAAGCCTCAATGTCTGGGCACACTGCTCTTCTGTCAGCTGCCCAGCCCAGGCCCTGGGGCCAGAGCAGCCACATTCTCACCCCCGCCATGCTCCTCCCTGCCCTCACTCCCCACTAGGGCAGTCTCTGCTCCTGGGGGTGCCGGGGCTTGGGTACCTATTGCTGGACTCTGGTTGCCAAAGAGGCAGAGACTGAAGGATGAGCTCAGATTGGCAAGGATGACGAGATTTTTTTTTTAAAGAATTATTTATTTAATTTTATGAATTATTATTATCATTATTATTTTTATTTGACCAGAGAGAGAGAGAGAAAGGGGAAGTGAGAGAGCAAACTGCCAGGTCTGGGACTTGAACTGCAGTCAGCCACAGGGGAGTCCAGCACCTTCACACCACCTGCTGGCCCCAATGAGAGATTTTAAACCAGACGAAAAGGGTGGTGTGGACATGGGCCTGGACGTGCAGAGATGACGCTGTCCTAGCCCCAGGCCTGTCACCGGCCAGGCCAATCCCCAGCCCTCTCTGGACTGCAGTTTCCTCATCTCTAAAGTGAGAGTCCCGGGTTCCGGGGCTGCCAGCCCAGATTCCCTAGTTTATACCCAAGCCGTAGAGACTCGGAGACGGCCGCCCCGCGGTGGGCACCCTCGCTACTCCC